CAGAAGCTCACATTTCTTGAGCACTGCTGTCCCTGGTACTGTTTCATGTGCCTCAGTATCCTCTCATTCATTCATTCATTCATTCATTTGTTCATTCATTCAACAGATATTTATTTGGTCATTCACTTTGTGTCAAACATTGGAGACTTATCAGTGAACAACAAAGATGAAACCACCCATTTTCATGGAGTTCTAGTGATGGCCCAGACGATGGGGGGAGGGGCAAAAAAATAGAAGAGTTAGCCCATGTGATTGTGATATGTGGTGTGGAAAAAGGCAAAGCAAACAAGGTGGGCATGGGGGGGGTCTCTAATATTATCCATGATTTACATCCAGGCCAACTGCTTCAGGAGCCTGTGCTCTGAGATGTCCGCTCACTTTGGCCCAGACAGTGGCCAACGGCAGGCCTAGGGGGGCACTGGGAGGGCGCTCCAAGCAGAGGGTACAGTCTGTGCAAAGGCCTGTGGTTTCCAGAGCAGGAGATGGTTGCTGGAGTCCAGGGAGAGAGGAGAGGGCATAATGAGCCAGGGCTGGGGATACAGCTATAGGTGGGAGGTTTGGAGCCCACAGGGATTCTGAGTCCCGTACCCCTCCCCCACCCCTGCTTTGGTGCTGGGCTGGCTGCCTGGGAGGCACTAAGTGGGAGGGAGAGGGTACTAGGGCAGAGTACCAGGTCTTCGATCTGGACACCGGGGTGGCGGTGCTGAGGTGGGTACCCAAGAGAAGTGCAGGCAGAGGTGGTGGACAGGAGGGGCTAGCCTCCAGGGAGCTTCCATGCGGGCTCCAAGCCCGGCCTCTCTGTCCCCCCCCCAACACCACCGAGCTTGGGATCCCAGCTTCCAGCCCTTGTGTGGGGCCCAGCTCCCGCAGGCACTGGTTACAGCTGAGTGGTTCTGCGGAGGGGCCGGGAGGGCTCCCGCCCTGGCCCCAGCTCTCTGGGCCCCCAGCTGAGCTGTAAATGACTTTTCCATTTTCCGAGACCTGCGCCCAGGCCTGTTTGGTATTCAGGGACGCCAGGCCCACACTCGCCAGCTCTCGGCTCTGCCCGAATTACTTGATTAAAACGCATATCAACTATTATGTGATTCGTTTCTCTGCCGCAGCTCAAGCCGGGCCTATGTTAAACTGTAATAAAGACTGGGTTTGGAGGCAGCAAGGAGGGGGATCGCCGGAGCCCGGGTGGGAGGGCGTCGCTGGGTGGGGGTGGGGGCTGCACTCAGAGAAGGACCCCAAACCTCAAGGCCACCGCTGTCTCCCTCAGATCTAGGAGGACTGGGATCCGCAGCTTCCTGCCCTCTGAGAAGCTGGTAGAGTTCCATCTCCTTTCAAGTGTCTTCCTCTGGCCAGGGGGAGAGCAGGAGAAGTTTGGGGATGGGGATGGAGAACAAGCCACCTGGGGCCCCCTCGTCCCCCCCCCCACCGCTCAGAAATGGAATTTTCCACCACCTGGGAGTATTCCGCGGCAAAGGGGACTTTCGCTGGGCTGGGAGTCCTGAGTCCTGGGTTTTCTTCCCAGCCCCACCACCCCAGGACTTCACTGATCATCTGTAAAATGGGGCTAATAGTGTCTGCTCGGTCCTCTGGGGTTATTGGGAGAGACTGCAGCAGAACAGGGACAGACCTTGTGAACTGTAGGGTGCTGCATACACATTGGGTGATGACTGTTGCTGTGTGTCCGAGTTCAAAAGGCATTTTGTAATTGTTCTGCCAAGCCCTATTCATCTAAGAAGGCTTTTACTGAGCGCCTGCTGTGTGCTAGGCACAGTGTCTGCTCCATTTGGGGATCTCCCAGTCCGATGGGACCTAGAGACCCAGAAACAGGCAGGTTCGGAGTCCCCTGATGAGCCTTGAGAGCCCATGAAGGGGCCCAGAGACCAACGTGGACACGCTCAGGAAGCCTTGCTGGGGGAGACCTCCCATGAACTGGGTTCTGCTGCATGAGCCAGAGGAAGCCCAGTGGAGGGGGTGAGGCGTTTCAAGCAGAGGGAGCTCACGATTCAAGGTAGGAGGTGTGAGTTGGTCTGGCTTGGTCTTTTAAGGATGCCGAGAGCTGGCCAGAGAGGCGGGTAGAGTGATGGGCTTATCTGCCCACGTGGTGGGACCTCACTGGTATCGCAGAGGCTTCTAGAATCAGTGGCTTTGAGTGCCAGCAGGCTTGGGAAGAGGGGCAGTGGCTGAGGTAGAAGCTGGAAGGGATGGTCCCTCGTGATTTTCTCTCTACTTCCAGCAACCTAGTCTTGGGCTGGGCTCGGCCCTGAGCAGACCTCATTCTTGCCCACTTTTAAGCTTTGACAAACCCAACAGCTCCTGTCACCCTTCCTGTCCCTCATCCATTTCATTCTCAGAGGCTCTCCAAAGTCCGGCAACTGTCTTGTGTTCCGTGCCTGTCCTGGCCCCGATACTTATGGAAGCCGTGTTTCCTCTATCAGACTGGGAAATTCCCAAAATGGGTTGTGTGTGTGTGGGGGGTGATACCTCCTCCATCAGACTGGGAACTTCCTAAGACAGAGGTTCCCCCATAAGGTTGGGAGGTGGGGCAGTTTTATCCTTGTGCTGTGTTGGACTCCCCACATCCCTGAGCAGGGACAGGATCCAGGAACCCAGAGAGCGGGTCCCTCGCTATATCCCTCTGTCTTGGGGGCTCTCCCCACACCTGCATGAGCTCTGTCCCACCCCTCTCTGGGATCTTTCCATCTCACAGCTGTTTGGGGCAGAGGGCAGGAACTGCTGCTGGCCAGGAGGCTGCTCCGCCACAGCCCACCCCCAGATCCTCTGTTCAGTGAATGTGCTTTGTGTCCATACTGCCCATGGGACCCCCTCCCCATGCCCCTCTGGGTTATGCAGTGAATTTCAGGATCAAATCCTTGGGAATAGTTGTCTTTGGCTCTGAGCCCCAGATGTGCTGGGGAAGGTGCCCCAGGATGCCAGCTGTTCCAGCTTGGTCTCCTCTCAATGATGGGAAGCTGGGCAGCCGGGAATGGGGAGATGAGGGGGTTGGATCTGACCCCAGGTCTCTGCCTTTGGGGACAGTGTAGGCAATGATGAAGGGAGGGCTCCTTGCTTTTGTCTCCTTTGTCCTGTGGCATCACAATCAGGGACAGCCTGGCAGTGGCCAAGAAAAAGCAGGGATGACTGCCCAATGAGCAAGACAGTAGGACAGAGGGAAGGAGACCTGGGACGGAAGGGCATTACTCAAGCCCAGATGCCATCCGAGCTCTGGATGCAGCCCTATGACAACGTTGCCCATCGTGCCATTTGCCACGCCAGGCCTTGGCAAATACTCTTACCGTGACCTAGAATGTCTGTCCCATCCCTAACATCTAAGAAGCTGTATTAGGTGTTTGGGGGAGGGAAGAAGAGGCTGTCCCTTGTGGGAGATGCCTAGACCTGATTGTATAACAGACCGTTAAAGGAGTTGAACAAGAACAGGTGTGGACACTTCCTGAGAGATTATGTGACTCAGTTTCTCCCATCTGTACAGTGTAATCACATGATTGACTCAGACTGAGTGCTGTGAGCACAGTGTACCCAGGCCGGGGTGGGGGGCACCACCTAGCAGGTGCTCTGTTGATGCTCTGGTGAATGACAGTACATCTCCAGAGAAGGAGATGGGAGGGGAAGGGGAGAGAAACTGAAGGCAAAGAGGAAAGAGAGAGAAAGCAGGAATGGGAGGAAGATAATCTCTGACAACCTGCTTTCTCTTTCCCTCTCCCTTCCTTGGTCTTTTCTCCTGGCCCTACTATGTGCTCCCCACATTCCCCCGGGGGCCACAGAGGGTACAGCTCTAGAGCCCCGGCTAGGCTATTCCTTGCTAGCATCCCCTCTGCTGGACCAAGATGGATACGAGGCACAGGATCAGTGGGCTCGGGAAGCCAGTTCAGTCCCCAGGGTGTCTTCAGCTCTGATGCCAAGGAGCTTGATCAAACCATTCCTGCAACCTCATTGGTCTGGCACCTGGTCTGATAGCCCCATCTAGGGCTGAGAAGTAAGCTGGCTCCAGACTCCTGGGCTCTCTCTGCACAGGAAGCAATGATCTTCACCCACCCCAGACTCCAGGGGGGGTGGAGGGGACTATCGGGTTGGGGCCATGGCCACAGCCAAGGTTGTCAGGTAAGGTCTCCTTTTCCAGCCTGGAAGTTTACTCACAGATCCTGAAACACCCCAGGAAGGGCTTTTGTGTAGAAGTCAAAGTCCAAACCCTTCATATTATAAGCAGGGAAACTGATGCCCAAGGAGGGAAGGTAACCCTCCTGGGGTCATGGTTCTGGGGATTTAGGGGTTGAATCAGGTCTAGAATCTAAGCTTCTGGGCTTCCAGCTCTTAGCACATGCACGTGCTCTCTGTCTCCCTCCCTCCCCTTCTTCTGGCCTTCCTCCTAGCCCTAGGGGTTTTTGTTTTGTTTCTTAAGATTTTATTTATTTATTTGACAGAGAGAGATCACAAGTAGGCAGAGAGGCAGGCAGAGAGAGAGGGAGAAGCAGGCTTCTCGCTGAGCAGAGAGGCCAACACAGGGCTCGATCCCAGGACCCTGAGACCACGACCTGAGCCGAAAGCAGAGGCTCAACCCACTGAGCCACCCAGGCGCCCCTACCCTGCCTTTTTCTTCAAGTTAGGTGTATGGAGATACAGTTCACAGCAAAATTCTCTCATCTTGGAGAATATAGTTGTAGGAAATTTCAGCAAATGTATTTCATCATGGAACTACACTGAGTCCTATGTCGTGGCCATCCTTCCATGTCAGTGGAACTAACCAAAGTACCCAACTATAGGGGATTTAAAAGCAAGACCAGTCATGCCATAAAATATGTAGCCAGTCCCCTGAGGCTGGGCATGGAGGTTGCGTCCCCCATTCACTCTGGTGAGCAGTGCCGTGGGAAACACGCTTCCTGAGCTCAGGAGCGATCTGACGGTCAGCAAGACAGTGGGTGGGAAGGCAGGCACAACGTGCCCCTCCGCCTCACTAGGCCCGCTCCCTCTCCTTCCCTCCCACCTGGCTGCAGGGAACCGGCTGGACGAGGGCTCGGACGTGGAGTCAGAACCCGACCTCCCTCTGAAACGCAAGCAGCGCCGTAGTCGGACCACGTTCACGGCTGAGCAGCTGGAGGAGCTGGAGAAGGCCTTCGAGAGGACCCACTACCCGGACATCTACACCCGCGAGGAGCTGGCGCAGAGGACCAAGCTGACGGAGGCACGTGTGCAGGTGAGGCGGGGCCGTGGGTGTTTGCCCTGCGGGCATACTGAAGCTGGCAGAAGGAGAAGATGGAGGTGGCCCGCATCCCAGGGTTGAGTGGGCCCCCAGAGGGCTCTCCAGCGGGTGGTCCAGGGACTGTGTAGATGAGGAAAGCCACTGGCACGTGATGCGGAGTAAACGGGCAGTAAGTACTGCTTGACTCACTGAGCACGGGGTGGGCAGCCTTGGGGAAGCCAGGACGTGCAGTGAGGCCTGCTGGATTGTGCTCAGCCCTCCAGGGAAGGGCCAGAAGAGAGGGCTCGGGATGCATAAACGGCTCCAGATCTCAGATGAGGGGAGGAAGTGACTAGGAGGGAAATTGCTGAGAGGCCTAGCTTCTTAAGATAGGTAAAGAGCTTCCGGGTATAGGCAGCATGCAAGCACACGGAGCAGGCACGTTCCTGGTGGGTTAGCAGCATCAGAGGGAGGATGGGCAGACCTCGAACACTCCCTCCACGCCCACGAGTGTGCGGTTCCTCATCAGTGGGGCTGGGGGCGGGGGAGGTGGAGAAGGAGCCGAGCCTGCCTCCTGGCCGGCAGCAGGGGAGGGAGCAGTCTCCTGTCCCCAGGTCAGGGAGGAAGACAGAGGGTCCCGTTGAGCATCTCCTGAGGGAACCCATTCCTGGCCCATCTTCTCTGCAAGCGAGGGAGACGGGTCTGTAGGAGGGCCCCCCAAACCGTTCACGAGGGACTCCCAGCCGAGCGCAAGCAGCCTTTGCTGGGCACCCACTTTGAGCCTTCTCTTAGACCTGGCAGAACTTCAGACCGCCTTGTCAGGCATGGCACCTCTGGGCAGGCCACAGGGGCGGAAAGAGGCTCGGAGAAGAGGCATGCCCAGGGACACAGAACTGGGCCCGGAACTCAGTCCTGCTGGATTCCAAAGCCCAAGTTCTTTCTATGGGGAAGGAAGAGGTTGACTCAGAGCCTAGGATTTGAAAGCAGTAGGGAAAGTTCTAGAAGCAAGCTGGTATGTAGGCTCTCCAGGAGCCAGTGTACCTCTCTCCACCCTCCCTGCCCCCACTCCTGGAGTGGGGGGGTCCGTGGCTGCCTTTGAGGGAGACCCCCAGGGGAAGGGAGCAGGCGGCAGCAGCCAGCTCGTCTCATTCCCGCCCCTGCTCTGCAGGCTGATATCTGAGCCTGCCCTGGGCTCCCGGCCTCCCTCCCCCGGCTCTGATCCTCCTGCAGCTGTTCTCCTGGGCACATTCCTGGGTGCTTTCTCATTCCCACGTCTGGCGGCTGCGGCTGCTTCCCACCACCTTGAAGCCTGACTGCGCCTTGTAAAATTTCCTGGCTGTCAGGGCCGTGCTTTTATTGGCCCAGGGGACCCAGAAACAGGTGTCACTCAAGGTCCAAGGACGGAGGGGGGCTGGGAATAAGGGGAGCAGGCAGAGCCCAAGCAAATGTGTAGCGAGGGAGCCAAGGCAGACGTCTTGCTCATTTGCTCATGCCGACTCCTCTGCCATCCTTTGGGCTCCCCCAAGGCAGCGAGTCTTCCCAATTTTAGCCTGAGAACTTAGCTTAATCCCAGCAGGGCAGAGGTCCATATATGTTGGGTTTTAAAAGGACAAACAAAGATTGACTCCTGAAAAACCAGGAGATGAATGATAGAACATTTGGCCTGGAGAAGAGATTTGGAAGAGGCAGCTAAGAGGCCCCTGAGGGGTGGGACTGGGAGCCACAGGCCTGGGTTTGCATTGGTCTCTGACTCTAATCAGCTGAATTACCTTCAACCGATCAGTTTCCCTGAGACTTAGTTTCCCATCTATAAATAAAGGCAAGGAACTAAATGATCACTAAAGCTCCTTAAAGTTCTAAGATCCTTATTTACTGACAATCAGAGCTGCCTTGTGAGGTGATGAGATCCCCATTACTGGAAGCATTCAAGCCAAAGTACAACGTCCAGTGGATCAGAAAGCCTGGTGAGAGTGCTCCTGCTGTGGGTAGTCGGACAGGGAGCTCAAAGCCTCCTGAGCACTGCGCCGAGTCTATGGTTTTGGGGTCTCGGGTCTCTGTTTCTAAGAGTCTGTGGTTCTGGGATTTTGCAGTCCTGAGACATGTCATCTCAGTGGCCCCAGTGAGGTGGTGGGAGGGTAGAGCCGGTCAGAGCAGGCTCAGAGCCAGATGCTGAGGTGTGAGGTCCAGCTCCAGCACGCATCCCTCCAGCCTTAGTTTCCACATCTGCAAAGTGGAGGTGACATTAATAGCCCCCCTTATTCTAAGGGTTCAGTGTTTACACATGAGAAAAACACACACTCAAAGTGAAGAAGTGCCTGGCACACAGAAGCGCCATAGGCGGGGTACATTCTCATTAAGCTGCACCTGTTCTCGGTGGTGCCAATCCTGGCCACCATGGGAACTCCCGGTGCCTTCCTCTGGCACTCACTTAACGGAGCACCTATCCCACGCAGGACGCTGGTCTAGGCGCCGGGGACCGAGCAGACAGAAATCTCTACTGTCACGGAGCTGTAGCCCAGGAAACAAGGAAACAGGAACACATGTCAGGCGGGGTTCTAGTAACCCAGCTACGTTCCCTCCCTCGGGCTCTGCTCCAGCGGGCTTTTGAAGCCTGCAGGTGTCACTTGGCATCTGTGATGTCTGGGGGAGACACCCCTGTCTCGCCGGCGGGCAGCAAGCCACCAGGAAGTGTGGGAAAGGGGGTCAGGCAGGAGGACACATGCCTGGGGACCAGTAACTTCCTCTGGAAGAATCTTCATTTTTAAACAGCTGGGGGCCAACCATGCATCTTCCTTGGAGGTAAACAAATCCACTTTGTCCCGAGTGCAAGGATCTCTGAGCCTGTGTATTTCCTCCAGAAACAGAGCCACCCTGAATGGAATCCCATTTTAGAAGCACTAGAAGGACTCACTGATGAGCCACGGTGACTGCATCTTTCCCTAAGAGTAGATCGTGTTTATCGTGCCCTTCTTCTGAGCTAGGGACGATGTGTTCCACCTACGTCATCCTTAGCACCCTCCCTGTAATCCTAGAAGGTCGGTATGGTCAGTCACTCCCTTTCCAGGTGAGAAATCTGAGCTTTAGCAGAGGGCAGAAATGTCCTAAAGACACAGTTACGAAGCACCAGTGCTGGGACTTGAACCCAGGTCCGCCTGTCCCGTTCTTTTCTCCTGTGCTCCATCCAGAGAAGGACCAGATGGAATATTCAGCTCCATAAAAGCTGCTTCCCACAGTGTCCTGCTCCCAGGGCGAGGTATTGAGAGAAGGATCAAAAATGGTTACCAAAACTCGGCCTCTGCTCTCAAAGAACGCAGCGCTGATTGGGGATTTTGGGTGGGTGCTGGGGCTACCCCTGTCCCTCCCAGAGCCTCCGCTCCCCTCCTGTGAATGGGCCACCCGCCCCAGTTGCTGGCTAAGAGCTCCCTCAGCTTAGCCATCAGAGGCTTTTCTAGAAGGATGATAGTTGCCCATGTTGTTCTAAGCACTTGGCCAGTGTGAACTCATTGGAGGTCCAGAACCACCGGAGGGGATTGCCAGTGTTAGGCACAAAGAAGCAAAGGCACAGAGGGATAAGGGAATTTGCCCATCTTAGCTAGGAGTTAGAGGCAGGAATCAAGCCGAGGCTGTCGGGCTCTAGAGTCCCTGCTCTTAATCATCCTGTTATACTTTGTGAGGAGGGAGGTGCCTGCCAGGATGGAGGCATTCCAGGGGAAACAGAACAATAGAGGAAGAAGAGGTGAGAGAATTGACAGCAAAGGGCGTGTCATCTCCTCCAGGAAGTCCTCCCAGATTCTGAGAGGTGAAGTCAGAAGCCCATCCTCACACCTCCTCCCAGCACCTGTATGTCCCCTGAGCTTACTGCCCTGGGAAACAGGCATTCTTTGCCTTGTCTGTCACGTGCCCAGGCAGAGGGCAGCTTGAAGGAAGGCTGCGAGTGTCCCGTTCTGCTCTCCATCTTTAGCATCTCACTTGGCACGGAGCAGAGTCCCAGCAAAGGTTTGAGATGAGAAGGAGGGAGGGAGAAGGAAAAGACCCGGAAGGACGGGAGGGGAAGGACGTTTCCAACCTCCTTCAGTATTCTTCATTCGAGGAAGGGGTGACCCCCAGCTAAGGGACAGCGGCAGCGTGCCACACGGGAGCAGCACCTTGTCTCCCACACACCCGGAAGGCCTAGAGGACGAGCAGAGCGGTTCAGGGCTCTTTAAGGTCTGCTGTCTGGGATAGTCCTCCCGCATGGGGTGCTAGGAGGCACACCCTTTGGGAAACACAGAATGGAAACAAACAGGAGCCCCTCCCCCTCTCCCAGAAGCAGGGAGCGAGGAGACACTGCCCCCTTTCACCAGTTCAGAAGCTCCTCCGTCCAACAGTTGGCATCCATCCCACCAGGAGCCCCCTGGGGAGTGGGAAGAAGCCGGGACCTTAATTTTGATCCAAAGCCCATTTTTCACTTCTGATCTGACCACCTCCTCTCCTTTCTCTGCGCGTCTTCAACGCATCAGAGGCAGCTTTTCTGTTCATCTGTCTCGGAAAGTTAAGCAGAGCTCCTCTCCTCCAGAAGGATCCAGAAAACGAAAGACACCAGGGGCACATAAGCACTCTGCTCCCCACCATCCAGCTGAGACTGCCCTCCCCCGTGTCTGCAGACATGGTCTACCAGTTGGGGGAGGGGATCTTAAGTGATCATATGCCAGGACAGGTCAAGGTCTTCATTGGGTGGAGCGGTTGGCTCCCAACTGAGACTTACGGCACCAGCCCTGGCAAAGACACACCAGAGCATGTCTCTATAGCCTTGTTCATTTGTTCGTTTGTTCAACAAGTATTCCGTGAGCACCTCTGGAGCCATAATCGTTGAGCAAGGAGGGTGTGGCCTCTGCCCATGGGGCTAGAACCGGAGGGGGAGACAAAGAGAAGCATAGCAGAAACAAATATGTAGACTAAGCACGTGTGTGGGGGGAGCTCACGAGGAAGCTGGGGGCCTCTGGCGAGGAGGCAGGACCTGCCTGAACTTGCCTCAGATGCGGTGATTAGGGAATCAGAGAGGAGGAGGCGTTGCCACTGATCCTGCTGGTGGAGGAGTCGGTGGCGGGAGAGGGTCTCGGTTAGAGGGAACAACATGTGAAAAGCCCATGGGTGGAAAAGAACCCCCCGCCTCGCAAAGCAGCCCTTGGGTCCCACACTCATTCCCCTTTTTGGGCCCAGAACTCATTGCAAATCCAGACAGGGGAGTTTAGAAAGTCAGACTGATTTAAGTTTGAACCTCAGCTTCGTTACAGCGAACTGTGTGGCCTTGGGCAAAGTATTTGACCTCTGTGAGCCTCAGTTTCCCCTTCCATGAAATGGGACTAAAGGGATGTATCTCATGGGTCTCTGTATGGACAGACGTGAAACACCAGCCCAGGGCTTGGAGCAGAGGAAGCCTCAAATGTGTTATTTTTCCACGGATGCCTAATGAATGCCTTTGTCTGTGTGAGGTGGGTTTTCCAGATCAAGGGGGCCTGTGCTGGGTAAACAGAATTTAGCAAAGCCAAGCCACTTGGCTCTGGACAAAGGACTGGTTCTTGAATCTGTCTCTGGACAGTGGGTCTCATTCAGGCAGGTTCCTGACATGGGGCTTCCTGGAGGAGGTGGGGGCAGCATGTGTTAGAACGAGGGTGGTCCCCCACAGATGTCCTTTAGGACAGGAGCCGCTACAATGGAAGGAACACTGCACCCAGAGTCCCCCCAGACCTGGCTGTGCGTCCTGCTCACCCTTTCACGTGGAGGAGTCACCTGCTGTCTCTGCATCGCTGTTTGCTCATCTGTAAAATGGGGATAGCAATGATACTCCCCTCGCTGGTGGTGAGGACAGGATGGGATCATGCCCACGGGAGGGCTCTGCCTGCTGTCCCGAGCTGCAGGAAGCTGGGTATCTCCTCCCACAGAGGAGGATCCTGGTTGGACAGAGGGTGATGGCTCGGCGACCAGTTCTAGCTGTGGCTCAGCTCTCCACTCAGAGCCGGGCTGAGGGCTCTCCACTCTCCGCTCTCCACCCCCCAGGTCTGGTTCAGTAACCGCCGCGCCCGCTGGCGTAAGCAGGCAGGAGCCAACCAGCTGGCAGCGTTCAACCACCTTCTGCCCGGGGGCTTCCCGCCCACCGGCATGCCCACGCTGCCCCCCTACCAACTGCCGGACTCCACCTACCCCACTACCACCATCTCTCAAGGTGAGTGTGCAAGCTTATTAGGGTACCCCAACCACACCCTTTCACCCCGCCCCCACGTTCCTCCCTTCCTTAACCAAGAAGGAATCATAAGGGCTAATTTTTAAAGATTTTATTTATGTGAGAGAGAGAGAGAGAGAGAGAGAATGAGTGGGGGAGGGGCGGAGGAAGAAGCAGTCTCCCCGATGAACACAGAGCCCAACACGGGGCTCAAAGCAGGGCTGGATGCAAGTCTCGATCCCAGGACCCTAAGATCATGACCTGAGCCCAATTCAGATGCTCAACCAACTGAGCCACCCAGGTGCCCCAGGGCTAATTTTTTTAAATGACCATTTGTCTATTTGCATATGGATAGACTATTAGGACACACACACAAAAAGGTCTTGCCCTTGAACTTCTTGGTTCTGCCCACAGACCACAGAGCATCCAGGTGAGGGCACAACATAGCCTTCCCACACACTTTTAGCACAGAGCTTCTCAAACTGTAAAGTCATGTGCCTCTCCTGCAGTCGTATTAAAATGTAGAAGTGACATACAAGGTTACCCTCCCTCCCAAGACCTTCCCTCCATTCTGCCCCCCACCCCAACCCTCTTCCCCACCCAGCACACATTAGCAGTCCCACTACTTGACGTCGGACTCATGAAGTCCCCGTGGCTCCTTCTTAAAGGGCTGGCAGGCTGGAGTTCTGGAAGCCCAGGAGGCAGGGGACCTTCCCTATGATTCTTGATGAAAAATGGAGGATTGTCCCGTCCTCTGGAAGGCTGCGTGGAGGAACCCTGGCAAAGCAGAACAGCAACCCACAGCCAGGAACAGAAACAGCAGCTCAAACCCTGGGCCCACCACTCACTAGCCTTATCACCTTGCACAAATGCCCCAACCCCTCCAAGCCTCAGTTTCTTCACCTGTAAAATGGGAATCGTATTCTTGCTTCATACCCTTAGCCAGTGCTCGTAATGGCACTTGGCAAGTGGTTGGTGCTCACAAAATGCTATCAGGACAGGCCTGCATAGATTAACAGAATCCCCAGCAAGGTGTGACTCTGAGTCCAGATGACATTTATTGAGCACCTACTGTGTGCCAAACACTGAGCAACATGGCTGGTTCACAGTTGCCTTGGAGTTACGTGGAATGTTGCTTAGCTGTCTGTCCAGATTTCGCTAGTCCCTCGTGGCCAGCCCAGGAGCCAGCTTGTCCCATCCTGAGTAGTGAGAGTAGGTGACCCCCTCCCTCTGCTGGGTGGGCACTGGGAGGAGGAGGCTTCTGGCTTGTTTTCCAAGCAGGTGCTTCTTTCCCTGTGCTGGGACGCCCACCATCCCTGGGCTGGGGCCCCTGGCTCAGGCCGTCTTCTGGGTTTCTCTGCAGATGGGGGCAGCACCGTGCACCGGCCGCAGCCACTCCCACCGTCCACTATGCACCAGGGGGGGCTGGCCGCTGCCGCAGCAGCCGCCGACACCAGCTCTGCCTACGGAGCCCGCCACAGCTTCTCCAGCTACTCCGACAGCTTCATGAACCCGGCAGCGTCCTCCAACCACATGAACCCCGTCAGCAACGGCCTGTCTCCCCAGGTAGGTGGCCTCACCAGACTGGTGCCCGGGAAATGGCGGGCTCTTGGGTACCTTGGAGAGAGCTACAGTGGGAAGTGGAGATGCTCCTTCCACCTTCACGGGGCAGTGTTCGGGGATCCTTCGCCCTGGGTTCATGTTCTTCAAGCCGCAGGTCCGGGTGACCCAGCAGGCGGCTGCGGAGAAAGGGCTCTGGCCACCAGCAGCACACAGAGACCACATTATAGATGCGCTCCTGGCCTGACAGCCCCCCAGAGCTTATGAAACCAGCCCTCCACCCACCTCATGGCTGCTCGGTCCATAAAAGTCGGGTATTTTCACACAGTGTGTGGGTGGAAGCCTTGTACCATTTCCTATGGGATGCTGACCATGGTTCGCACTTTGTTCTAGAACCAGGTCCTGGATGCCGTCCTGGGCTCCATCTCTTGCCTTTCCCCAGGAGTGACCTGTGAGTGAGAGGCAGCATCCGATCGGTAGTGAGAAACACAGCTAAGGTTCTAGACTGGGAACCTCATGGGGTCTCCCATAGGGCTCCATGGGGTCCCCATGGGGTCTTGGAGCTCATTCTTTCACGTCCAATGGGTTGCTGGTGAAGTCCTTCAGTGCCTACCCCTGCTGTCAGAAGTCATGGGGCCGCCCTTAGATCAAGTCAGAAAGACAGGGTTGAGGCTGATGGCAGTGACTGGTGGGTCTGGGGAGCAGGACGTGGTGATACACGTGACCTTGAGAGTTCTTTTCTGGGGCTACAGCAGGCTCTCAAATACCCAAGGAGGAAAGAATTAAATCCAAGGTTGGTTTCACCCTTCCTCCCGCCTTCTGAGTCGCCTCCCTCATGACTATGGGGACACACATGGCGTGAGCTTTTCTGAACAGTTGTGCTTCGGGTAGGAAAGCTGGAGTCTTGCAGGGGGTTAAATCCCATCTCCACTGCTCAGGGTGTTGGGAAGTTAGCATGGCTGAGCCTCGGTTGGTCCCCCATGGAACTAAAGAGTGATTAAACCAGGTGTTGCTGACCTCCTAAGAAGGGTGTTTTCTGAACTTAGCATCTAACTGGCCAAAGCCTTAGCACCCAGCCTGGCACAAAATAGGGACCAAAAAACATTAGTAGTCCTCTTGCCAACCCCCATCGCCAAGATGATTCAATTAGCGTGAGAAACCTGTTACGTGAAGAAAAAAGGGGGCCAAAGGGAAGGTCAGCTCCAGCCCCCTGGCCAAATCCATCTAGTTTCTGGTTTTTGTCAATAAAGTTTTATTGGCACATAGCCATGTCCATTTATTTACGTATTTATGGCTGCTTTGGGGGCTATAACACCAGAGCTGAGAAATTTTGAAACAGACCACCTGGCCCACAAAGCAAATAGCGTTTGCTCTCTGGCCCTTACAGAAAACCCATTGCCAACCCTTGGTCTAAGACCTTTGCAAGAATGTTCGTTTTCTGCCCGGTTTGGGTTCATCCCTGTTTGCCTCTGTTAGTGAGTGTGGTTGACAGCTGACTGCATTGTTGTGTCATTGTTTATTTATGGGTGAGATTCCTTCACCTCTCTCTGTCTTGATTTTTCCCATCCATGAAATGGGGATGACACTAGCATCCATGTCATAGGGTTGTTGAGGAAGCTGTGAGCGGACAGGCATAACGCACGTAGCCCAGGTCCAGGGCAGAGCTGAGCCCTGGGGGACTTGACCAGCTCCTTGCAGAGCTCCTAACGGTGATGCACCACTTCCTGTTGGAGCCCACATTATGGGGCGGGGATGATGCAGCCTGCAGACCAGAATGTTTACCTGCTGGACTGTAGCTGGTGTCTTTGAGGTTCAAGGCCATGGCTTCAGTACTGAGCACACACTGGCTGAGCTAACCTTCCAGAGAGTCAAGAGACAGACAGGACAGGACCCAAGAGCTGGCTGGATGACCGTGGCCATGGAGACTGAGGATGCGGTCCAGGCCTGGCCTCACGGTATGAGACAGGTCACAGGAGCATCACTCAGAAGTCCGAAGAAGGACGATCAGATTATATGGACCAGCCTTCTCACTTCATGAATGGGGACCAGGGACCCGTTGGCCGGGCATAGCCCAGAGTCTAGGGCACCGTCTTGCCGACTTGCAACCCACTGTTTCAGCGTGGGCTGAGGTTTCTCCCCAAAGCACAGTTTTGTTACAGGGCAGAGGACAGACAAGCAAATAAAGGGCCCCTGGCTTCTGGAGCTTGGCTCAGGGACGGGATAAAGAGTAAGGACGTCTCAGGAGCTGTGTGAGCCCAGAAACAAGCCTCAGGGAAGGAGGATAAAAGGAGAGAGGGAAGGGGAGGGGAATCGCCATTACTATAAGCAGCCAGTAGCCTGACCTTCTCCCTGCCTGAGCTGGACCCTCGCCTCTCCTCCCAGAGACCCTTGCTTGGGAGGCTCCCCCACTCCCCACTTCAGGCGGAGAGGCTCTGAGGACATGATGGATCGGCCCAACTCCAGAGACTTGCTCAGAGGTTCCCACCAAAGGTGTGAAGACAGATGGCGGGTCTGACGGGGGCAGAGGGGACCAGGAGGTGAACAGCTGCCAGCAGGGAAAGGGGTTGCACGGGGTGGGGACAGGAGGGCAGGCTGTGTGTGCTTCTGCCCATGTGAATGGCCGGGGTTAAGCTTCGACCGCTTCCGGAGGAAGGGGGCCGCTGGGGGTGTTTCTGGGTCTGTACAAGAGCTCCTGGTATTTGTGAGTCCCGGGACGGCCCCTCCTCCCTCTGAGCGGGCCAACTGCCAGTCGCCGCTGTCTCGGGAGGGGTGCGGGCGGGCGGGCGCTCTCCACCAGGACAGATCTACTTCCTAAGGTCTCATTCCCCTCCCTCCAAAAGCAGGGTAGTTGTCCAGAGCTCATGTGGTCAAGAGGGATGGGGTGGGCTGCGTCTGGGATGGGACTTCCTCTCCTCCCAGACCGCAGGTGGCCTCGGTCCTTGTGCTTACAAAAGCCCAAAGGGATTCTTTTGGGGAATGAACTTGGGGCTCTGCTGAGCATGTGCTCATCACACTGGCTGGTGCGCTGCTGCCTGGAGAAGCCCCCCTTCCCGGGGCCCGACCTGGGTCTTTGTCTCAGACCCAGCCTGGGAAGTAGGGACTGTCCGACCTCGGAGACTCCACAGAGAGACCTGCCCAGCAGAATCCCATGGAAAAACCATTGATTCAGCTCTGCCTTGGACCCTGCACCCTGGCTGTCAGAGAACAAAGACTTACGGAGTGCCTGTCATGTGCCAGGCACTGTTCTAGGCCCTGGGGATAAATCAGTGCACGTCAGAGATGGAGACCTCCCGCCCTCATGCAGCTGGCGGTCTAACAGGACAGACAGACAATACATAATAAAACCGCAAGTTCACGCAATGTATCTGATACCGCTTTGGCAAGGGCAGCTAAACTTTCGAGCCCCTGTGATCCGCACCTTGTTCTGAGTGTTTCCTCTACCCTCACTACTTGGGCAGCAAAACCAGGATTCTGCCCTCCTTTCTGGAGCCTGAGATCAGAATTGACACTACCCTGTAACCTCAGAAATGTAAACGCTTACCCTCTTTTTTGGAGACTGGCTGGCAGCAAGAAATCCTCTCCCCTTCTGCTCCATGGAGACAGAGGGGAAAGCTCATTCAACCCATGTCTTGGATGAGAAGACTGAGGCCAAGACCTCAGGTTAGGGGCCAAGGGACAGAGTTGAGTCACATGGGCAGAGGCTTTCTGAGAACTTCAGACACCAATGAGGCTTGGTTCCCTCGTAGCCCCGCCCCAAAGCCCAGCTTTACGAGATCAGCGACTCAGTGCTCAGCACACAGACGTCCCCAGCTTTGCGCATGGAGTCTTTTTGAAGAGGTACAAGGAAAACCAAAGCAGTTGACCCTTGAACGATGTGGGGATGAGAGGTGCCCACCCCCCCACACACAGCTGAAAATCCACGTCCAAGTTTTGACTCCCCCCAAAACTTTACTAATAGCCTGTCATTGCCCTGAAGCCTTAGTGAGAAGATAAATAGGGCACGGATACATGTTTTGTAGGTTCTATTTTTCTTTTATACTGTATTCTTACGAGAAAGTGAGCTAGAGATGTTGCCATAAGACAACCATAAGAGGGGCATCTGCGTGGCTCAGTGGGTTAAGCCTCTGCCTTCAGCTCAGGTCATGATCTCAGGATCCTGGGATCAAGCCCGCATCCGGGCTCTCTGCTCAGCAGGTAGCCTGCTTCCCCCTCCCCCCTGCCCGCCTCTCTGTCTACTTGTGATCTCTCTCTCCCTGTCAAATACATAAATAAAATCTTTAAAAAAAAATAAGAACGAAAACCATAAGAAAAAAAAGAAGAAAAGCATGAGGAAGAGAAAATACTTTTGCAGCGGGGCTGTGCTGTAGTCATTGAAATACAGCGTCTAGAACAGTGCCTGGCACAGAGGAGGCACCCCGTAACTGTTCGTTATGTGAGAGGCGGGGTCCAGGGCAGAGCGTATGAAGTGTCCCCACACATTCAAACCCATGTTGTTCGAGGGTCAGTGTACTGCCCACGAGACGTAGGGAACTAGGATTCGCAGACCCCCTAGGCTGAGGTCCTTGGAAACGGCTCTTAGATAAAAAACAGCCTGGGACAGCTTAGGGCAAGAGGAACCTTTTGTGGCATGAACGTGAACAACAGCGAGCAATCTGATGTCTGCTGTGATAGGGCACGCTGATGGGGAAGTGGGCAGGGATACAAAGGGGACACCTGTGTATAGGTCCCTTAGGATACCTGCCCTTAGGAATCCCCCAGTATGATGGGGGAGACACGGCTCCTGCCCTGAGGGATCCCTGGCCTGAGAGAGGAAGGACTTCGCTCTCATCCGCAGGAGCTCACAGTCTGAAATGGAAAAAATTCTATCCTTAGATGCCCTAGGGCAACGATAGAAGCCAGGGCTCTCCCAGAGAGCTCCCAGTTTGAGGGGACACAGGCTCAAAAAGTCATTCCCGGCTGCTCACCATCCAGAGTCCCGAGGAAAGAATCAGGAGTGCAGTTCTGTT